ATAGGGGTATTCCAGGAAGAGGTAGTAATTTGTTCTTATCACAAGGAGGCCTTGACAACTGCAACCTAGTAATTCCAGAAGTCATACTGGGCCTGTGGTCCCTTACATGTCTCCCTTTTCTTTCCTTAAAAGGGAAGGTTTAGCAGAGGGGTTTGTGCCTGTCTTAGGTTGTCCCGAGGAGTGGGAGACTGTTGCCCGTCATGGGGGCAATATGCAAGGCAACGCCCCTGGCTTAGGTCAGACTCCCCTCAGGGGGATCTTACCCGTCATTGGCTAACCAAACCAGCGCTCAGACTAATCCTTGGGACCGGCCAATGTCGGTATAAAGATCAGGGTTGCCAGTATCCAGCCGACAATAATGGACCTGAATAGGTTTGGACAAGGCCTTGTCCAGCTGTTGTTTGACATAGGAGGTGATCTTCCGGAACACCCAAGGACCGAAGGTTAGAGCTAATAAAAACACAAATATAGGCTCTACAAGAGGTAAAATATAAGGAAGAAAGACATGAAGATTACTTAAAAAAGGATTTTCAAACAGTTCTCTCCGACGCTTGACCAGATCATCCTGTAATTTCTTTATCTTGTCCCGGACTACACCGAACTTATTAGCATAGAAGCAACATTTCTCCTGTAAGGCCAAGTATATACCCCCTTGTTCGGCTGTCAAGAGATCCAATCCCCTTCTGTTCTGCAAGACCACCTCGGCTAGAGAGTCGATCTGGTCCTGGAGATCACTAATAGTTCCTGATAAGGTTTGGATATCATCAATGAGCTGTGCAGAGAGTTTATTATAGGAGTGTATGGCGACTCCCAAGCCCCCAGACCCTGTCGCAAGGGCTCCCGTAATGCCCAAGCCAACAAGCAAGGGAATAGCAAATACGGCCCTTTTATGTCTTCCAGCCATAAAGTCGAGGCTGGGAACTGGAACAGGCTCGTTCCCTGGAACAATATCCATCTCAGGTAGAACGGAGGCAATGGAGCAATAACCAGTCCAATTTACGGGCAACGCTGGGAACGCCATATTCCCTCCGCAGAGAAAAACATGGCCTAGAGGGGGACACAGGAAACTGCTAGTACAAAGGACAGAGGAACAATTCACATGAGGGAGAAAACCCACATCAATGGAGACAGAGGCATTGGGAGTGGTACCCTCAAAGCAGGGGGCTACAAAGAGTGACTGATTCAAAGGGATCGGTTGAATCCTAAAAGGGGGGCCTAGGGAACAATTTACCGGAAGGGAAGGATTTTCAGCAGGAGCAAGGTTACCAAGGGGGGGTAACGCCATAGGAATGGGAGTACCGAGGGGCAAGCAAAGCCAGCAGTCCGCAGCCAACACAGGATTGGTCTTATTTAGCATAAGGTGAGTGGATTCCAAAATGACAGACGTCTGACTATCGAGACTCAATCTGTGAGGCCGGGGACGCGCAAGAGGATGATAATGGAGGGAGGGGAATTGGGCCCGAATGAGTTCCTCAATGTGCTGCTGGACCTCATGTTCTCTGGCTCTGTCAGAAGGGCCCCCTCCGTCTGATACATGTAGGGGTGCACGTTCGGGCCAACAGACATCGTGGCCAACATCGGCAGACGAACAAGACGCCTGGGCATATTTGTTCGTATGTCCCTGGAGAGTGGCGGAGGTTTCCCCACCAAAGGTTCCTGCATAGGCTTGCTGTAGAACTGCCGTCAAATAAACCTTATTATTAGAAGAACACTGCTGGACGCTGTTATAGCAAAGGGAATGAATAGCTTGATAGTAGCGACAGGGGGAGGGGCAGGGACCAGGGGACCCAGGCAGAGAGGGAATGACTCGGGGTTTGGCGACACACTCCCACCATTGCTTAAATCCCCCACCGGTGGATGGTCGATAGGTGAGATAGGCGGTGTATTCATTGCAGTCGTTGGAGTAAGAGAACCGCTGCGGTGTTACCCGTGTATACCCTCCACGGCAGTCACAGGGTGGCCCAAAAAGGGAGGCGAGGAGATCGTTGCCGGCCGGGGCGTCAAAACCAGCAAGGCAGACCCTCAGGACAGCCAGGAGGTACCAGCGTAGGGGTGATCGTTTTCCAAGCATTTCCTGTAGATAAAGAAAAGAAATATTTCTCAGAGAGGTTTGTCCTCCCTGGAAGGAAGGTTAACTGGAGGCGGAGAAGCCATTTTACAGGAATCAACTTGCTTTACAAGCCTCTCAGGAAGCCAGCGAGCAGATTGTTTTTCTTTAATATATATACAGACCGAACCCCGACCCCAAATAAGAACAGGGTCGGGACCCTGCCACTGGTTAGTAAGGGGATCTTTCCACAGTACTTTGGCATAATTGTGCTGGGATTCGGGGTGCCAAAACCTATCAGCCGCTGATTTGCCAGTATCATCCAATTGAAGAAAATTTAATATGAAAAGAGCATGGCTGACCAGGTTCCGGGGGGATCCTTTGACCGGGTAGAATGCCCCTCTTCGAAGTTTGGTAATAGTGTTTTTTAAGGTTTGATGGGCCCGTTCCACAATACCTTGCCCTTGAGGATTATAAGGAATGCCTGTGACATGAGAGATACCAAGGGTGGCACAGAAGGAGCGAAAAGCTGTGCCAGCGTAGCCAGGCCCATTATCAGTTTTAATAGACTCGGGCTTGCCCATAACAGTGAGGCAAGAGAGGACATGAGCTATCACGTGGCGGCAGGCCTCACCGCTCTGCAATGTGGCAGAGAGAAAGCCGCTGTGAGTATCGATGGAGACATGCATATATTTTAAATGACCAAAATCAGAAACATGAGTCACATCCATTTGCCACAGGGCGTTAGGAATTAAGCCACGGGGGTTCACTCCTAAATGGGGGGTGAGGAGAAGGGTCACACATGAGGAACATTGCTTAACAATCTGTCGAGCTTGTTCACGAGTGATTTTGAACAAAAGTCTAAGGGTGGTAGAATTAAGATGATGAAGGGAGTGGGCATGAGTGGCCCTATCCACAGGGGACAGATAAAAAGACGAAATAGGCATACGGGTGGCGTGGTCAGCGAGGTCATTACCCTCTGACAAGGGACCAGGGAGACCTGAATGTGCCCGCAGATGGCCAAGAAAAAAAGGGGCAGCCCTAGCACGGATGGCAGACTGTACTGAGAGAAACAGCTGAATTGCAGAGGAGTTAGGTTTTAGATGGGAGGCTGTTTCTAATAAGGGGACAGAGTGGGCCACATATGCACTATCTGTATAAATGTTCAAAGGAGTGGAAGGAAAAGTTCGGAGGACTACAGAAACAGCAAACAATTCCACTAACTGGGCAGAGCGATAGGGTGTGGACAGAGGGGTAGCCACGCCATTGCATGAATATGCAGCGGTCCCAGATGAGGAGTCATCAGTAAAAACTGTAAGGGCCCCTACTAAAGGCTCCGTAGAAGTTAATTTAGGGAAGACAAAGGGGTGTGTGCGAATAAAATGTAACATTTTATGAGCAGGATAATGATTATCTATATTTCCGGGAAATGAGGAAAGCGCTATAGGCCAAAGGTCAGAGGTACGAAAAAGCCAATCAACCTCCGCCTTTGCATAAGGTAGAATGATAGAGTGAGGCTCCTGACCAAAGATCTTAACACTGGTATCTCGGGCTTGAATAATGAGTTCTGCTACTAGAATATAATAAGGAACAACAACCTTGGACGAGGAGGAGGGAAGATGAACCCAGAGAAGGGGAGAGGCCACCTGCCAAAAGACTCCCGTGGGTGTGTGTGAAGTGGCACAGACAATAAAAAGGAATGGAAGGGAATAATCCAGAGCTGACACAAATTGGCCTTGAATGGCTTGTGTGATTAAGTCTAAAGCCTTTTTGCCTTCAGAAGTTAACTGTCTAGGTGATCGGGGGTCTGGGTCCCCCCTTAAAATATCAAACAGAGGTTTCAAATCACCTGTAGTAAGACGGAGATAGGGGCGGATCCAATTAACATCCCCTAACAACTTTTGGAAATCATTAAGAGTTCTTAAATGACTAGTTCTCAATTTCAGGTTAGAAGGCCTAACTAGGGAACCACGGAGCTCAAAACCGAGGTATGTATAAGGGTCCGTGACTTGGATTTTCTCGGGGGAGACCTGCAGACCCCATTCAGCAAGGTTTTGCGAGAGAAAAGCAAAGCAATGGGAGAGGGATTGTGACTCAGGGCTAGCGATTAATATATCGTCCATATAGTGGAGGATATAAAGGGAGGGCCAACGATCACGAGCGGGCTGAATAGCCGCAGCCACAAACTTTTGGCAGAGTGTAGGGCTATTAGCCATTCCTTGGGGGAGCACTTTCCACTGAAAGCGTTTCATTGGGCTCTGAAAATTCATAGAAGGCAATCTAAAAGCTAAACGAGCACGGTCAGCAGGGTGCAAAGGAATAGAGAAAAAGGCATCCTTAAGGTCAATAATGATTTTAAAAAATGAGCTGGGGATTGCCACAGGGGAGGGCAGACCAGGTTGAAGGGAGCCTTTGATGATCATGGTTCGGTTAACAGCGCGAAGGTCCTGCAAGAGCCTCCATTTTCCCGATTTCTTTTTGATAACGAAAATAGGGGTATTCCAAGGGGAATCGCTATATTCAATCCGGCCAGCGAGGAATTGCTCCCGCGCTAGCTCCTCGGCAGCCTCAAGCTTCTCCCTTGGAAGTGGCCACTGATCAACCCACACGGGCATGTCATCCTTCCATAGGATACGGTCTGCGTGGGGTGCAGGAATATCAGCGGCCATCAGAACAAATTTCCCAGACCTAATCTTTCAGGGCGAGGAGAGGCCTCAATGGGAGAACGAATGCCCTGTGAGTTTTTTCCAAGACCTTGGCCAGGTAGGAAACCCTGCCTCAGCAACTGGGAGGTAACAAGATCACTCGGACTGCACATAACCATTCCCATCTGTGAGAGAATATCCCGGCCCCAGAGGTTAAAGGGAAGGCCAGGAATAACATAAGGTTTCACAAGACCAGTGTTATTCTCAGCATCCGACCAGGTCAAAAATTTGGCACTCTGCTCAGGATCTACTGCCTGGCCTATGCCTTTAAGGTTAGTAAGGGCAGAAACTAAAGGCCAGGAAGCAGGCCAGGACTCCTTCCTAAGAACGGTGGCATCAGCACCAGTATCCACAATCCCTTCAAACTGTTTGCCCTCAATCTTTAGGAGAAGCAGGGGCTTTTGGGGGAGAACAGGCTGAACCCAAAAGGCATCGGAGGAGCCGAAGCCGCGCGGGCCACGAGGGGAAGGCCTCTGGGAAGAACCCACGGAATTATCAAGAGGAAGCAAAAGAAGCTGCACCAGGCGCGTACCCGCCAGAATGGTTTTTGGAACAACAGAGGCGGTAGAAACTATCACCTTGATCTCACCAGTATAGTCATTATCAATTACTCCTGGATGTACAAAAAGGTCAGAGATCGTAGAGGAGGCTCTCCCAAGGAGAAGGGCAAAGAGCCCCGGAGGGCAGGGACCGAATACCCCAGTACCAAGGACCTGAGGTCCCTGGTCTGCACTTAATACTGTGGTGGAGGAGGAACGGAGGTCCAGTCCGGCGCTGCCAGGGGTTGCTCGGGAGAGATCAGAGATTGAGACACGGCCAGCCGAGCGGCCCCAGGGCCGGCCTGTGAGGGGATGAGAGGGGCCTGGGGCTGGCCCCGGAGGAAGTTTCCCTGCAGCGGCAAGGGGAGGCCCTCAGCGGAAGTTTTAGAGCGGCACTGAGAGGCCCAGTGACGACCCTTCTTACATCGGGGACAGAGGCCAGGGTGACCAACACGGCCTTGCTTGGCGTTTGGGCAATTTCTAGCAAAATGACCAGGAGTGCCGCAATTAAAACATTTAGGAGAGGCGTTGGGGGGGGGGGCAGCAGCAACAGCCCCGGCAAAGGCATCCCGTAACGCGGCACCTATAGCGGCGCCAATTTGGCGACTGGAGCCAATATCCCGACAGAGACGGATATAATCAGAAAGAGACCCCTGACGTTTTTGCGGGCGAATGGCGGCCTGACAGGCAGAATTGGCATTTTCAAAAGCAAGCTGCTTGACAAAATCACTGTCGCCCTCAGATGGCCCCAACAGTCTTTCCGCAGCTTCAGTTAGACGACTAACAAAATCAGCGTAAGGCTCCTCAGGCTTCTGGCGGATGGAGGCGATAGAGGTCGTGGCGGGTCCTTTAGGAGGTAACAGCCGCCACGCCTTTCGTGCAGCAGCCTGAATTTGAGCAAAAATTCCGGAAGCAAACTTAGATTGGGCCTCATTAGTATTAAAAGGAGGAAGGCCAACAAGCATTTCGTAAGTCCATTCCGCACTTTCCCCTCCGGCCTCACGATTATGGCGGGCCGCTTCCTTACATAATTCTTTAAATTCAGATTTCCAAAGCACAAAATTTCCTCCACTCAGGGTGGCGCGGGCAAGGTGAAGCCAATCATGAGAAGTGAGCCATAAATGATCGAGGGCATCAAGGATGGAGAGGGTGAATGGGGCAACAGGGCCATACTGAGCGACTGCCTCTTTTAGTGTTTTTAGCGTCTTATACCCGAGGCGTCTATATTGCCGGGGGGCAGCCTCCTCTCCCTCCTCGTCAGTGTCACTTGACGCAGTTTTGTCCTCAATAATGGGAAAAAGAAAAGCAGGGGAGGAAGAGAAAAGACTCCTTTTCTTAGGGAGTAAAGACCCTGCATCCTTAGGGGAAGGGAGGGGGGCCAAAACAGGGGATTCGGATTTGGGTTTGGAGGTTACTGTAGGGGCAGTGAGAGCAACAGCTGGGCCAGGGATGCAATCAGCGAGTTCCAAATCAAGGAGCCGTAGTTCCTTAAGCAGCTGTGCTTTCTCTTTCTTAAACATCAACATCTGTCGGAGGGACTGAATCTGAGAGGGGAGCGAGGTCAAGGGAGTGTCAACAGGCGGAAAAGGGGGAAGAGTATGATAAGAAGGGGGAGCAGAAGGGGGCAGAGAAGCAGGAAGATGAGGGGTTGGGAGTGGAGAAGCAGGAGCAGTGGGCGCGGAAGCAGAGTGCTGTATAGTAGGAAGACATGCAGGAGTGGCACTGAAATTACAGGGGTCATTATAAGAAGCAGCCTCCTGCTCAAGGTCAGCTGCGTCAGTAGGATCTAAGGTATCATTTGACCTCTTGACCAAAGCCTCTTGTAAAACAGGATAAATGCTCTCAACTCTCCTACTTTGGGAGGAAAAATCATCTAAGGGCATGTCGATGGACACAGAATCACAATCCTTCCTAGACTCATCCTCTGTTGCGGGTGGGGCTGGTAATGGACAAGGAGGCTCTGGGGGGCCTCCGTCTTTCTCACTGAAAATCTTACAAACCTCAGTCTCAAAAAGACTTATTTTCAAAATATCATAAATACAATTCCAGTAATTGAACGGAGTAACAGGGACCTTCTCAGGCCCGAAAGTTCTAAAATAATCATTCAGACAATCTCCCACCCGTTTCCATCTTTTCTCATCTATAGTTCCTTCCTGTGGGAACCAAGGACAAACGTCCTTTAAAAAAACAAAAAATTGTATAAGATCCTTTTTCTTAACCTTTACTCCCCGTGTCTTTAATGAGGCCTTAAGCCCTTCTACAAATTTTTCATGACTACTAGCATCCTGCCCCATTTTGAGTGTCTCCTTACCTCAGGTCTCTATTCCGCAGATCAGGCAAATCCGCGGCAACCAATTCTCATGTATCGTGACTGCAGTCGTCTTTTTCACAGGAGCACACACCAAAAACCTTTACTCCTTTTAAGGGGGTCTCG